ATAAACTAGTTAACTAGTTTTTTTTTTTTTTTAAAACTAAAGAATGAAAAAATTACAGAGCTAATCAGTAGATTTGACAATGAGAAAGTAGAGAATGAAATATGTACCTGAGATAAGATCAAGAGAGATTGATATATGGATTTTGGATCTGCGATTTGATGAAGAACAGATTGAGTTCGAAAAATAGCTAGAGCAAAGCCCTCGAGCGACAGAGATCGATGAAGCACAAACCATAGTGTGTGAGAGTGAGATAACAGAGATCAAATGCAAAATGTGCAATCGAGCGAGCGAGTTTGTTTGAGAATGAGAGTAAAAGTGACAGTGAGAGCTTCAAATCGAGGGTTTTGGAAGATAGGGAGACTGAGTTGTGGAAGAGACTGAGAAAAAGAAAGACTGGGTTAAAAGAGACGGAGGTTTGGACGGTCAATAACTTGACCCAATACGACGCCGGTTAACTGATATCAGAGACAACGTTTTCAAAACGTTGTGTTTCATAATTTATAATGGCGTTTTCATAAACGCCATAAAAGAACCGTTGCAATAGCCCCTTTTTCTTGTAGTGAAAGATGGGTGTATTAATATATCTTCTTAAATTTTTTATGTATCAAAAAGTCCTATTTACTTTTAATTGTTACCACAAATTCTATTTTTTATTATTTTAGCGGAATTTTTATAAAAAAAAAAAGTGTTACTAATGGTTAGTTTTCAGCGTTAGTTGAAAAAATGTTACAGAGAAATGTCACTAACACTTGTGGGACTTTTTGATCTATACAAACACTTGTGAGAGTTAGGGATTGTTTGGGAATTGCTAGATTAGTATACTTTTTAATTTTTTTACAAAAAAAATGTAAAATGTGAGTTGGGATTAAAGTGATGTGATAAAGAGATGATTTGACCAAAATAAGATAATGTACTGAAATAGCATGTGCTATTTTAGCACATGCCAAACAAACTCTTAATGGTGCACAGGTCCTTATAACAAGACTTATGGATAATTAACCCATATAATAATAATAATAATAATAATAATAATAATAATATTAATATGCATAAGATCAAGAGAGAAACAATCTTCCCCCATTACAATGAAAATCTCCCTTCCATTGCATAAACTCAACACCATTCGTCCTCATTAGTTATTTATTTATTTATTTATTTATTATTTTTTTAACACAAACAAACATTAAGCTAGATTAAAGGGGAAAGTTTACTAGTGAATAAACCAACATAAATTATGGCTATTCTTTGGTAATGACTTTACTATGTGATTTTGGTTAATATTTTATACTGTATCTTGTTGGGTCTGAGAAGCATACTTCCAACTTCGGAGTTCTTCAATGCTTGCTTGTTCACATTTTCCTCCAACGTAAGAAGCTAAAGTTCCTACAATTTAAGTAATGTGACATTTTATGATTAGTTAAGAGATTAACATGTATTTGGAATCTCAATTATTTTAAGTAACTTGTGTATTTGTTTTGTTTTTTTGATGTTAAAAGGTTGTTTGGAATGACCTAAATAAGTGCACTTTTTGTCTTTTTACGAAAAGATGTGCAGAAAAGTAGAGAGATGATGTGATGGAAGAAAGATAAAAAGATTTATTCAAGGGTATGGATTAATTCTCTCAATTTGGTCATCTTAATTTGAGAGAGTGTTTGGGTTGGTATACTTATTTTGGAGCTGACCTTAGGGATCTGATTCTGAACCATTCACTTTTTAAAATTCGTTGAGTAGAATATTTATTAAAAAAAAAAAATCAAGATGATCGAATATCGGTAGCTATATACTACTACAAAAATAGTTAAAGATCACACTTTGATAAAAAAAAAAGATCTCACTTTTATTGGAAGTGTGATAAAAAAAATTAGATTGATATTTTAATCACACTTAATTTGATTGAGTGTGATAATATTTATTTTTTATGTCACTTTTCAATTAAGTGTGATTATATATATATATATATATTTTTAATCACACCTTCTAATTAAAGTGTGATTATATATACATTACTACTTTTTAATCACACTCCCTAAATAGGTGTGATTATATATACCCTATCAATTTGATTTTTATATAAAATATACAATTCCCAAATCCGCGCCTCTATTCTACCCATGAATGATAGAGACAACTTACTACTAGAAAATG